AAAATCCAGCATCTCCTTCCTCAATCAGCTCAGAGAGGGGAGCTCGCATTTCTAACATTACCTTTCATCTCTCACCACACTACACCTCTCCCAAATGAAAAGGTATTATAACCAGTGCTCACCACATTCAAGAACATCCCATTCATCATGTGAGAAAAATCACTGAACCGTTCCTATCTTTTGTATCATTGATCCCTCTACCAGGCATGTACCCTAAGGAGGTCGATGAAAGAAATCAAGTTCCCATAAAAAACAAAATATTAATGGTAGCACTTACTCTGATAGCAAAAGATTGGAACTAAAATGAGAGCCTATTGAAGAAAGGGGAACCAAGAACACAATGCACAATCATGTATCCAGCCACACTAAAAAGCAGTCAAACCCGCTGAAGGGCAATGAACCGGAGAAATGATAAGGAAATATATTTCCCTACTTTCAGAGATGGGGAATGTGTTCTACACTATCAGACAAGAGGGAAATATGATGATGATGATGATGATGATGATGATGATGGTGATGATGATGATGATGATGACGACCTACAACATGCCTGGCACTGTGCTAAACACTTTACAAATATTACCTCATTTGACACTCACAACAAGGCAAGGAGGTAAGCACTAGTATTGTCTCCATTTTACATTTGGGGAAACTGAGGCAGACTAAGGTTAAGTGATGGGGCAACTAGGTGGCACAGTGGATAGAATGCCAGGCCTGGAGTAAGGAGGACATGAGTTCAAATATGGCCTCAGACACTTCCTAGCTGTGTGGCCCTGGGCAAGTCAATTAACCCTGTTTGCCTCTGTTTTCTTATCTCTATAATGAGTTGGAGAAGGATATGGCAAACCATTCCATTATCTTTGCCAAGAAAACTCCAAATGGGGTCACAAAGAGTCAGACATGACTACCAAAAAAACAACAACAAAGGTTAAGTGATTTGCTTGAGATCATATAGCCATGAGAGAAATGATTATTTCTCTCATACTAATAATCAATTATTGAATTGATTTTTTTCCAAAACCCATAAGTTGTTCAGTCTCTTAAGGACATTGTTGATGGATGCGATTGCCCAGTCCCTGGGGCCCATGCTTTATGATCCTGACCCTTGTAAAGAATTTAATCTAAGGTGAATTCTAGCCCATTGTGTTCCATTCAGGCAGGCTCAGGTTGAGGGGTAGATCCTTTGTCTAGCTTGCCCAAAGCTGGGGATGGTCTGAGATCAAGAGTGATCAAAGTCATTCCCCAGCCCCTCCTTAGAACAGGCCTACTTGTCATTCTCTCATTATCTGTTAACCAATCAGAGTTGATTTCCATCCTCAGGAACACCCACTCTTCCAAGGGCATATGACATTGAATGGGTTCCATGAAACATCTTTGGCTTTGGAGAATGCCATCGACCCCCTTTATTAGTTATCTCCTAGGAATAATTAATAAAATGATTAATTACCCAGAAACTTTTTATACATCACAGATAGCAAGAACGTGAGGCTGAATTTGAACTCAGGTCTTCCTGACTGCAGGCCCAGTGCTCTATCCAATGTGCCACCTAGCTGCCCAGTACAGCTGGGCTTTACTTAAATATTTTTCTTTGTTACAAGGAAGGGTTCAATGTACTCAGTGGTGGAAAGCAAGATTTAAGAGGAAATGTCTGTGGTGTGAGACAACATGGCATAGTGGATAGAGCTGACCTTGGAGCCGAGAAACCTTAGGTTCAAATCCTGCCTCTGACCCATATTGGCCAGGTGACCCTGAATAAGTTACTTGTCCTCTCAGTGTCCTGGACAATTGTCCAAGATTACAAATTTCAGAGAAAGGACTGACCTGCATTAATAGAGTCAATATCATTCAAATCATAGGTCAAGTCCTTATCCTAATTCTAGAAAGATTCTCTTCTAGAGCTATTGATTCGTTTTTCGTTTGATTTATTAAAAAAAAAAACTATACCGAAGGCTACCACAACTGAAACAAAATACAGAGGATTTAGAAAAGGTTCATACAAAAGCTTTTTAAAAAATTTTAAGGAAAAAGAAAAATGATTGATTTTTGAAATGAAGGGCAATAACAATCCCCCTCAAAAAAAGTGCCAAAAGGTTATGCAGAATTACTATGGAGTAACCAGAGACTCCATCTTCGTGTATATTTTCGTTTACGAGAATGTACGTAAAGTTCAGAAGAAACAATCCAGATTCAGATTCACACACACGTACACGCACACACACAAACACACACACACACACACACACACACACACCAAGGCATTACAGAGCTCCATAAGATTCTGATAAGCATGGCATCTTACACCACTAAGAATTTGTAAACCTATTATTGTTTTTAAATACAACTGAACCCTAAATCTAATTGACTTCAGCTCCCATAATCTTGGGAGGATTTAATATTTCTAAATCCCTTTCCAAGACAAATACTACTGGATTTAAACATCTAAATTGTCCATTCATATTTTAAATGCTATGCTGCCCCCTTGTGTTCATGACATTGCTCATGAAAAGTCAAACCAACATGTAACAAATAGTCAACTTTGGGACATTTTTTTCATAGACTCATTTCCTCTCCAAAACAACACCTTGATACTTGACTTCATTGCCATGCCCTTAAAGATGATGTAAATAAGCTAGAGACCTCTGGATTTCATTCCTGATGCCACAAAATTTCATGGAGCCCCTTCTCAGCCTGGTGAACCCCATGGACCTATTCTCAGAATCATGCTTTTAAACGCACAAAATTAAATACATAAGATTATAAAGTAAACCAATTCTATTAAAATACAGTTATCAAAAAAATTTTTGTAATAATTTCAGAGACCTCAGGTTAAGGATTCCTGATCTAGGAAGACCATGAGAAGCATGGTATAGATGGTGACTCCTGAGCTGTGTCATGAAGGAAGGGAGGGCTTCTAAGAGGTAGAGATGAGAATGGAAGTATATTATAATGGTGGGAACATGTATGCAAAGGCACTGAGATGAGAATGCATGGATGCATGGGTGCATGGATGCATGGGTGCATGGATGGATGGATGGATGGATGGATGCCTGGATGCATGGGTGGATGGATGAGTGGATGGATGGATGGATGAAAAAACATCTGTTCAAGGTTTACCATATGCCAAACACTGTGCTAAACTCTGAGGACACACAAGAGAGTCCCTCATCTCAAGGTACTCATGCTCTAATCAAGGGAGATAACACATAAAAGAAAATTCGGCTGCAGATTAGATCAAAAGGCCCAGAAATCTCTGGGGAGTCACAGTGGGGCTGATGGCAGGGCCCTAATGTCCTCAGGTCATATGACAGTGCCAGAGGACTAGAAGCCACAGAGGTAGGGCAAGTAGTGAGTCCTAAGGGACCATAGGAGGCAAAAGCAAGGCAGATAGGAAAGCCACCTCATGAGAAAGGGTGAAGTTGTTGACTCCTATCACATCTGTACCCTGGGAGCATTCAAGCAGCCCAGGTGAAGGGGCAAGAAAAGGGGGGTGAGCACCGCAGGTAGGATCATCTTCCATCACTTCTACCACCTTTGATGGACTATAGAATGGCCTAGGGGATGGGAGAAATAGGGAAAGAGGTGAGATGATCATGATGACGAAAAGCAAGAAGCCACTTTGATGGGATATGGCCCTCATTTGCAGATGTCCTGGTCCCAGTTAGAAACATCCCTCATCATGCCCTCCTAGGTACCTAGAAGGAAGAAATGCCTGCACATTGTTCTGGATCTTCAGCAATGCCTGTTAGCAAAAAGAAGAGAGGAAAACAAAGCAGAAAATTCTGAAGCAGTTTGACTCTCTGGAAACATAACTTGTCATCACGCCAGTCATCTCAAACCTGATTCTTCACCCCCCAGGTTTCTTCCTCCAAAAGATGTAATAGATAAAGGCATTCCATAAATCCCTGAGTAAAAAAGACATTGGACTCACAAGCCAAGAACTGGGTCCGATGATTTGCAACATGTCTCCATGTAGCACAGCCCACAGACTCCCGCCAGGGAAAGGTGGTGAGCATGGTCCGCCATCTTGCTAACTGATCCCTGCCTGATTTATGACTGCAGTGGCTGAAGCAAACAAGGAAGATGGGTGGAATGGGACCCTATAGAGCAGCTTTGCTGTTCTCTCTGTCTACAAGCAGCCTGCTAAGATTAGAAACAAAACCAGGAACACATCACTCTACTAAGAAATGCAAACTGATGGTTCTGCAGGAAGTTAACTAGAATTTCTGGTTAAATCCCAGATACAGAATTTGGCTTGTATACAGAGTGTAAGATATAATCAAGGGGTCATGAATTGAAGGACAAGGAACATTTAGCCCAGAGAAGGGTTGGAGCTGATATGAAAACTGTCCTCAAGCACTTGAAAAATTGTCAGAAGCCGAGGCTTCTTTCTGTCTGTTAGCCAAGCTAAAAGCAAGGGATGGAGATCATAGAAAGGAAGATCTGGGCTTGATAAAAAGGGAACTTTCTCAAGAACCGTTCAAAAATACAACTGGCTGTTTGCATGAACACATTCCCCCTTCCTGGAATTCTTCAGGCAGAAGCTGGACAACCATTTGTAAAAAAAATTAAAAAAAGAAAATAAATAAATAATGTTCTCAAGGCAATTCCTGCTCAGACGTAGGTTCTGGTAGACAACCTTCAGGCAGCTAAAGAGTGCTAGGCATGGGGTCAGAAGGCCCAAGTTCAAATCCTCCCTTAGACACTTAATAACTGTGTGACCCTAAGCAAGTCATCTAAACTCTGAGCCTCAATTTCTTCATCTGTAAAATGAGGATAATAATAGCACCACCCTCACAGGGTTGTTGTGAGGATCAAATGAGATAACTCATGAAGCATTTTGCCGACTTTAATATGCTCTATGCAAGTGACGGCTGTTATTATTATTATGATTATCATTATTATCATTATTATAACCTCTGTGGCACCTTCCAACTCTCAAGGTTCTATTCTGCAAGATTTTTTTAAAAATCAAAACCACCAGTAGAATATAGGCCACTCACCATGAAACACGCTGTTATCCGCTAAGAAATGCCGCCGATATTGCACACAGTTCCTCTTCTCAAGGCTCCAGTAACTCATTATTCTGAGACTTTCTGTCCAGCATCAAATCCCAGCTGGTCTGAGAAGAAAAGCAGATGACAAAGTTGCTTTATTTTTTTTAATGAGAAGTTGACATTTCTTTTGGTACCACACGGCATTCCCCAAACCACCATTTAAAGCTTATTTTTTGTTGTTTAGTCATTTCAGTGACTCTTCGTGTCCCCATTTGGGGTTGTTTCGGCAAAGACAATGGAATGGTTTGCCATTTCCTTCTCCGGCTCATTTTACAGTTAAGGAAAATGAGGCAAACAGGATGAAGTGACTTGCCCAAGGTCACACAGCCGGTATGTGTATGAGGCCTGATTTGAACTCAGGCAGATGAGACTTCTTGACTCCAGGCTCGGCACTCCATCATCCTTATTAATATTGCCTGACATTTACATAACATTTTAGGGTTTTACAAAGTGTTTTGCATGTATTGTCTCTTTCAATCTCCACAACAACCCTGCAAGGGAAGTGTTGTTGTTGTTATTATTATTGTTACAATTATCATCATCATCATTATTATTATTATTATTATTATTATCATAGATAAACCTCAGAAAGGTTAAGTGATTTGTCCAAGTTCACACAGCCAGAAACAATCTGAGGAAAGATTCAAACCTAGGTCTTCCTGACTCCAAGCCTAGAACCCTATTTGTTAAACCATCTCTCTCCAAACCTTAGATTTTTTTCTGGACCTAAGTTACAAACATATCCTTCAAAATGATAGAGGGCTGTTCAGTGCACTTTAATGATCAGTGACTTTATCACTGGGATCCCCCCTCCACTGTCCAAGCCTACAGCTTGTCTGTATCTTATTAGATGGTCTTTGGGAGTTTCTCTGGCCAAAAAATCCACCACCATGCAGCCAACCAGGCAAAAAACCTCTGCATTCACAGGTTGGCCGGGTCTTCAACAACAGCCAGTCAGCCAATCATCACCTAGCCTATACTCACGGCCTTTCCCATAATAAGGCTGCCAATAGGATGCCATTAATTAAGTACTCTGAAACACTAGCTTCCTAAAAAAAATTACCTTCCTGACCTGAAAAAATTCCTGCTGCTCAGGACGGCTGACTTAGCATCAGAACACAGCTCAGAAACAAGATAATCCGGCTGATTATTGGATGGAAGTGATTAAAGGGACTATGCTGAGATTCACCATAGTTGAGGTTGGTCAAAGTACAGGCCTATTTTCAGGGAAATCCACTGTTTGGGGGGAAAAGGAGCATCTGTTATAATCTACTTGAATAGCTGGCCCAGGAGAGCGGAAACTGTTGCCTGCAGTTTCCTAATCTCAGGCCAACACGTTTTGTCTTTTGTAGACTGTGGGTTCCCTCAAAGTCTTACTTGACGGCGAGGCATAGAAGAGAGAGAGTGTGTGTTTGTGTGTGCATAAACCAGAGTGCACTGCTTTGAGGTTTTCCTTAGTAGACAAGGTAATTGAGGTAGTTTGACTTGTGAGTTAATAAGAATTTATTAAGAAATTCAATTTACTAATTAAATTTATAAGATTTGAGTCTGAGAACACTATAATCTCCTTGAAATTAAAGTTGAGGATCACCCAAAGGTCAATGGAGAAATGTATGATGGGAGTGAATAGGCTTCAGCACAAACACAAAGGAATTATGCAAAACAGGTATAAAAGATTCCATGGGGAAAGTGTATGAATGGAAAAAGGGATGGCTCTCATCTGTAGCAAAAGCAAGAGCTAGCTCATATATCCCATTGGTATCCATTCAGTGCCAAGAGGACAGAAGAGTTATGGGATCAGATAGTAGAGGCAGAAGGGACCTTGAAGGCCCGCTGGTCTGATGTTGCCATGTTCCTCTCCTGCTCCAATTCTGACTCTCCAGACTGATACCCTGTCTCAACTACCTTCTCCCAGGGGAGGGTCTCTCTGTGTCCCACGCATCCTTCCTTCACTGGTGATTTCCAACCAGAACAGACATTTTGAAGAAGGGCCCAGGCCAGCTGTCCTTCGCCTCTCTCCAGGCTCTGATTCTGACTCCTTGGGCTTTGCCACCATGTCCTCACTCAGGCACCTCACCCTCCCCACACACTTTTCAGCCCTTTTGTGTACATTGTCTCCCCCCTTTAGAATGTAATCTCGTCTTCTCTGTTTATATTTGTATCCTTAGCACACCCATTGGCAAGAGTAAGTGCTTAATAAATGCTTATTGATAGACCATTTACAATTGAAGAAACTGGAATACATGTAGACCTCCTGTCTATTGTGTGGACCTGTTGTGGTGTGGAATGGGGCCATCTCAACAAGAGTCTCACACGATGAGAAGGAATGGATAAGTCTTAATATCTCATTGGGGAGATCACAGAACCGATGGAATTCTGGGTTATTCATTAATAAGAATTAAGTAACACCCCCCACAACAGGAAGTTATAAAACGGGTGCTTTAGAAACTTGAATATCACATTAAAACGCAAGTTATCTTGGTGGGGAATAGGAAGAAACTACCTGACAAAGAATTTTCTCTAATAAATACCACTGAGAGATGGACCAGATCCAGAGCTTGGAACAGTAAATAAGAAAAGGGGTTTTTTGTTTGTTTGTTTTTTTAACTAAATAGAAGAAAGGAGTAAAAGGAAAACAACGGTTCCTTTACTTGTACTTACAAAACTCTCCAAAATGCTTTCATATAGGTACATAAGCAACCCATAAAGGGGGTTCGTCAAGTGCTCATCTATTCATTCTATTGTTGGGTTTTGTAAGTCAGGTTGTGGTGGGGGTGACTCAGAGCTGTGATTTCATTGGTCTAGGGAGCTTCTGGTGAGGACATCATCTCTCCAATGCCATTTATCATCTATGAAGCAACTAGCTCAGAGTCCCACAACCAGCATATCAGAAGCGAGACCTGAATACAGGACTTCTTGACTCCAAAGACAGCTCACTCTCCATTACACTACACTGCTTCTCTGGAAAGGAAACACTAGCATCTTTTTCTTTTTTAAATATATAATATTTTACTTTTCCCCAATTACATGTTCAAACAATTTTTAACATTATTTTAAAGTTTTGAGTTCTAAATTCTTTTTTTTAAGTAGTTGTCTTTCCCCAAGTCTCTGCAAATCTCATTAGCTGGTTTTTAAAAATCATTCTCTAAGTTTTTTGTATTTTTAAACATTGGTCAACAGCTAGTTGGTTTTTCTCATTTAATTTAAGGCATTTTTAATATTTAGAAGATCTCTAATAAAGAGGCCAGATAGGCATTTCTAGATGAAGTTGGTTAAAAAAAAAAAAAACAGGTTAGACCAGACTAGAGGGCTTCAGAAGGCCTTTCCAATTCAAGATTTTCTGATTTATGGGTGAGTGTGTATATATACCAGTGTGGAGAGTGAGGGGAGTATTTCCTCATTTCCTTGTGGCTGAGTAGGAGGACTAAGAAAAAGGAAACAAAAACAGAAACAAAACCTGCCATCTTCCTTCCCATTCAATATTGAATTTCCTTTCTGAGCCAACAGAGACCACAGCCAATTTTACCTGGATGGGTCCCAACTACTCCACGGGGAAAATGAAACTTCCATGCAGAAGTTGTCAGCTTAACTAGAGAGAAGCAGCCGCTCAAATGAGCTCTGAATCCATTGTGAAAATGCATACACAGGGAGCTAATCTGCCCTCCCACAGATACAGCAAATATCGATGCCAGCTAAATGAAGAACTTCGGAAATCAGGGATCAAAGCTGATCCACTTTGACTCATTCCAAAGCTGATGGATGGAGCCCTAGACAAGGCACTCACTGCCTCAAGCATTTGACTAAAACATTGCAGAATTCCAGATCTTCTATTAAGCTATGCAGAACGAGACATGCTGGTGAGGCTGTAAGTAGGCAACCACTTGTCAGTCCTCTTAATAAATTAGCGGCCTCTAGTTCATAATTTCCCTGGTTTGAAGTTAGTCATATTAGTCAAACCCGGTTGTCAAGATTTCGATGACCCTTCTCCCAGATAGGGAGGGAGGTGAGGGTTGGCTCAGCCATCACAATTCAGACAAGCGGCTCAGCTAAACCTGACCACAGCCTTATCTTCACTTACCTACTAATGTCCACTTTGTGGGCTCCAGAGTAGCACAGCCCATGAATGCAGAACAAAGATGCCCATTAATCATCGCCATCCCCCACTCAACCACAATGAGAAACAAGGGGAGAGAGACCCTTCGGTCTGTCAAGACCTAAAACAGTCTGGGCCGTTTGATATCACTGCATGCAAGCCAGTTTGAGAGCCCCGGTATATAAACCCACTAATTGGCTACCCCACTATGGACCCTGGCTGAAGTAGGGTGCCATCAGCTTCCACTCTCATTTCTGACGTTTCTGACAAATATCAGTCACAAACATACACACACGCATGCATTTCCTCTTATACCCATCCCACATTCTGCAGATTGAAGTTTCATAAGGCACACCCACCAGGCCCTCACTCCCATCCTCCCTAACCTAGAGCTCAGAGCCCTAAACCGAGACAGCACGGGATGAGAACGCTGGATTTGCAATCAGGAGACTGGAGTTTTCACCCTGCTTCAGGCACCTATTAGCTTTATGATCCAAGGCAAGCCTCTTGAGTGCCTCAGTTTCCTCATCCATAAAATAGGAATGATACTATTTTCACTAGCTATTTCAAAGTGTTGCTTAGGCAAACCTCAAAAGCACTAAAAATGAGTTATTATTATTATTAATTTAATGGGAGCTCTTACTCATCCAGGTAGCAGATAAGAGAGAGGCTCATTTTTTTTTAACTCTATTTTCAATCTGGTATGAGAAAGGAGTAAAAAGCTTGAGAGCTGGAAGGGGCCCCAGAAGTCATCTAGTCTGACCTCCCTCATTTGCAGCTAATGAACCTGAGGCCTGAGAAAGTTAAAGGATTGCCCAGGTCACAAAGGTGCTAAGCATCAGAGGGAGAATTTGAATTCAGGTCCCCTGACTCCAGAGGTAGAGCCTTTCCCCTGTTCCACAGATGACTACTGATCTCCCATGGATGACCTG